ATCTTAAACATTAGATTGTGTGAGGAATTGTGATAAAGGAATTGTGGTTTATTAAAATCTGGAAAAATAAATATTAAGTGTTAAATTTAAATATTAAGGGAAAACTAAAACGGGGAAAAGCTTATTAGGTTACTGATTGGCTAAAAGATTGAATGTTTAAAAACAATTAAGATTTGAATTCAAAATATTGTTATGAGTCGAGACAAAGAAAAATTTTGGTTAAGTAAAACCTAGAAGTAAAATACTAATAATTAAATCTGTATATTGGTTTGTGTATTATTATTATTATTATTATTATTATTATTATTATTATTATTATTATTATTATTATTATTATTATTTAAATTTATATACCGCCCTATCTCCCTTACGGGACTCAGGGCAGTGAACAGGCAAAAATAAAAATCACAATAAATATTGAATAAAAAGCCTGCTCTAAAATACCCCATATAAAACCCCTAGCAAAGCCCAATCAAAACTATGCCAGGCCGGCCGCATGGAATAGATGGGTTTTCAAGGCTCGGTGGAAGAGGCGCAGGTCTGTAGTTGTACGTAGGTCGGGGGGTAGGTCATTCCAGAGGGCAGGAGCTGCCACAGAGAAGGCTCTCCCCCTGGGGGTCGCCAGCCGGCATTGACTGGCCAACGGCACCCTAAGGAGGTCCTCTCTGTGGGAGCGGACTGGTCGAAGGGAGATATTTGGTAGGAGGCGGTCTTGCAAATACCTAGGTCCATTGCCATGGAGTGCTTTAAAAGTTGTTACTAACACCTTGAAGCGCACCTGGAAGGCCACCGGCAGCCAGTGCAGCTCGCGCAGGAGAGGTGTTACATGGGAGTATCTAGAGGCCCCCAAAATCCCCCGTGCGGCCGCATTCTGAACTAGCTGGAGCCTCCAGGTGCACCTCAAGGGGAGCCCCATGTAGAGAGCGTTGCAATAGTTCAGGCGGGAAACAACGAGGGCTTGAGTGATTGTGCGTAGGGCGTCCTGATCCAGAAAGGGGCGCAACTGGCGTATCAGGCGAGCCTGATGAAAAGCCCCCCTGGCCACGGCCGTCACATGATCGTCTAAAGACAGCCGAGCATCCAGGAGGACGCCCAGGTTGTGGGCCCTCTCCGCGGGAGCTAATGACTCGCCCCCGATAGCCAGAGATGGAGCCAACTGGCTATGTCGTGACGCCGGAAACCACAGCCACTCTGTATAAATGCTAATAGGTTAAAAAAATATTAGTCTCAAATATGAGATAGGAGATATAAAGAGGGGAAAAAGAGGAAATACTAAGTGTGGAAATAAAAGAAATCTCGGCTATTAAATTTGAGATTCTAAGATACTGGAGAATTACTAAATAAGAATATCACTTCGTATTATTAATTGGTTGATGCAGACGGAGAGAAACATGTATAGATCAGAGGTGCATCTGAAACTTTAGACTGTGGGGGAACCGTGATAGAAATTGGGGTCATTTAAAATTTAGAAATGGAAAAGATCAACGTTAAATTTAAAATATTAATGGAAAATTAAAATTAAGAAAAATTTATTAGGTCATTGACTGTCTAAAAAAATGGAATGTTAAATTAATTAAGATATGTATAAACTGAAGATTATTGATGAATGCTAGAAAGTTATTTTCTGTTTGATTGATAGAATAAGAATTATGTTGGTTTGAATATGAGACAGTATATATTAAGGGGGAAAGAGAGGGAATTAGTTGTCGTAATACTTTGAGATTTGTATTGATGATATTTAAATGTAATGGAATTATTGTACTCAGCTGCCACGTTGCTTTTCAAACATGCAAATGTAATATTAGAAAATTTAAAAAATAATAAAAAGAATTAGGTCCATTATAGCTTTACTTCTAGTTCCCTCCTCTGCCTTTTGGATGACAAAGTTGTCACCTAGGTTGATTAGGAATCTGTTTGATCTCCCGCTCGCTGCAGAGTTTGTCTCCCAGCTGATATCTGCGTAATTGAAGTCTCCCATTATTACTGTGGTATGCTTCCTACATACATTTGTTAGCTGGTTGGCAAAGCGTCCATCTATTTCTTCTGATTGGTTGGGTGGCCTGTAGTATACCCCTATGGCAATGTCACTTTTTCCCCCTTTTATATTGACTCGTATAGATTCTGGAGGGATTTTATCTTTGATCATGTGCATTTCTGTAGATATGTAGTGTTCTCTTACATATAGTGCAACTCCCTCTCCTCTTTTTGTAGTTCTGTTTCTTTTGAACAATTTGTATCCATCCATCAGTCCATTCCAGTCATGGGTTTCGTCCCACCAGGTTTCTGTAATGCCATCTATTGTACTATTGCTTCTAGTTCACCGTATTTGTTCCCCAAACTTTGAGCATTAGTATATAAACATTTAAGACTTTTATGTCTGTCCGTGGGTGTTTCCTGGATCTCCTGATTGTTGTTTGATTTTTTCTTTTTTCTCATCACTCCCTACCTTTGTTTGATTTGTTTTCTTGGGATTTATGATTGGTTTTGGGTTCTAGAGATTCTAATGATTGGTCACCCTTCCCCAGTGGTGGGATTCAGCCAATTCGTACCACTTCAGCAGAACTGGTAGCTAATTTTTTATTACCCAGGCCCAATGGACTTCCAGAAGCGGCATCCACAAAGAGAACCGGTTGTTCACATATTTGAATCCCACCACTGCCCTTCCCCCTCAATTTTAATTTAAAGCCCTTCTAATGAGTTGGGCCAGTCTTTTTCCAAGCACATTTTTCCCTGTTTTTGTGAGGTGTAGCCCATCCCTTGCCAAGAGTCCTTCGCGTAGGAAATGGTCCATGGTCCAGGTATGATCTGTATGACTTAGAATCTCAATAGACATTTCCTGTAGTTCCCTCCTCCACCTTTTGGGTGACAAAGTTGTCAGCTAAGTCGGTTAGGAATCTGTTTGCTCTCCTGCTCACTGCAGAGTTTGTCTCTCAATTGATATCAGGGTAGTTAAAATCTCCCATTACTACTGTAGTATGTTTCCTACTAATTGATTAGCAAAGAATTTAGGGGAGGCAAACATAATTGGCACCCAAAGAGATGCAGATAGGAGGGCATGTTTTGAATTAGAGATGGTGGGGAGAAATGGACCACACATGTGGGCCTTGGGGGGAGGAAGGCTCCCATCTCTCTGGTTAGAGAAACTGGGTCAGGGTGGCTGTGACACTGGAAGCAGAGCAGTTATGGACTGAAATATATCAGTAAAACACGGTAGGTTTCTTTTCACATGCTTTTTTAAATTAGAGTTATATTACAGTATCTAAAAACTAAAATTGATTACATAGGAAATGTGGAATGAAACCATAGGAATTGACCAGTTTATTTTACAACTTTTAATGCACCTTAGGGACAGTAAACAATCAGCAGACTAGCCAAAGTTGCAAAACAATTATTACAATTTCTTCATTACAAATATTCTTAAAAGACTGTTTCATTGGACATTGTCAGTAATATGTTCTACACAGTTTGCAAGCTATCTAGAATGTTTCCATTGTTAAAGTATAATTCTAGTATTTGTATTATAATATACTGCATGTTTGTCTACATTAGTGGAGGTGTAAAAAAGTCAAGATAGCAGCCACAACCATGTTATTAAAGCTCCCCCACCCTTTTTATGTCTCATGATGATCTCCAGATTGTGGACCCCGTCTTGACTTTTTTCACCTTCCTGCCGACACCCTGATGTACTGCCAGCTACCACAGCAGGGGCACTTTTGGTAACCTGCTGACATTCTTCTGCCAAAGTCTTCCAAAGAGATTCACAGAGATTTCTAGAGTTTTAAAAAGATTTTCAAAAATGTTATTAGTGTAAGTGTAGTAGATCTATATAAATAAAAATGTAAATGTTTGTTTGTTCAAAATCTTAAATCTCCGAAAGTTCTTCACCGATTGCTTTGAAACTTTGACACAACGTTGCATTCGAATATGCGCGTGTTTTTATATACCTACTATTATATAGATGTCACACCTGTGACAGGTAAAAACATGTTTTTGAAAAACAGCACCATCTGTTGGACATAAAAGCAACACACGCTAACCAGACTGAGCCACAGCAACGCGTGGCTGGGTACAGCTAGTATATATATATACTATTGATATATTGATAAGATTTTCTTGCTTTGAAAGAAAATACAACTGCTTCAAAGATTACTGTAAAAAAATGTCAAGGTTTTCCCTGTACAGGTGTGCCTGACCCTAAAGGGTGGTGCTCATCTCCGTTTCTTAGCTGAAGGAGCCAGTGTGGTCTGAAGACACTTATGTGGTCATGTGGTCGGCATGACATTATGCCAAGGCGCATAGAACACTGTTACCTTCCGGTCAAAGTGCTACTCGCATTTGCATGCTTTCAAACTACTAGGTGGGCACGAGGAAGGTTATTGATAGTCTTCTAATTTGCAAACAAGCAAAAAAAAATCAAGTTGTATGAGAGATGTATGAAAAGCCTAGTAAATATACTGATGCACGAGGAGGAAGCCAGTAGCTAATAATGCAATATTTAAAGCTCGCAGACACACAATATATACCCTATTGCCTGGATAGAGCCGTGGTAGCACAGTGGTTAGAATGCAGTATTGCAGGCTAATTCTGCTGATTGCCAACAGTTTGGCAGTTCGATTCTCACCGGCTCAAGGTTGATTCAGCCTTCCATCCTTCTGAGGTCAGCAAAAGGAGGACCCAGATTGTTGGGGGCAATAGGCTGACTCTGTAAACTGCTTAGAGAGGGCTGTGAAACTCTATGAAGTGGTATATAAGTCTAAGTGCTATTGCTATATTCCTCTAAAAGTTGTGATCAAACCCAGGCCATCCTTCCCTATCAATGTCTGCCATATGACCCCACTTTTCACTTATCCTCAGCCAGTAAGGATGCTTGCTGGAAAGGAAGGCACCATGATCACACATTTCTGATATATTCAAAATGAATAAGCTTGTGCCCATAGTGGGAAAGAGGCTACTTGCCAGCTAAATTGAAAGCAAGAATTTTTACAAAATTACTTGGAAACATTTTGAAAATAAGACTTTCATGGGAATGATCATGTCCATTGTGGAGAAGTTCCGGGAGCAGAATGAGAGTGGCTTTATGAAACCATTAATCATTCAGGCAGGAGAAGACACACGATGCAGGACAGCAGGAACTGTTTGGAAGTACATGTCTTTTTCCGATGAAACATTGGAAGCATCCTGCCCATCCATCATGATGCTAAGGTGAGTAGGTTTTTTTTTTTATTCTTTCTCTTCTCTTTGATCATGATAGCATCATAATAACCTTGGAATTTGATACAGAAGAAGGGAATCGGGATGATAATGGTTAGTACACCACATAGTGCTGTGCAGGCTCCAAACATTTTACCAACTAGAGAGTTGGGTACAACATCTCCATAACCTACAGTAGTCAAGGTGACCACTGCCCACCAGAAAGCTGAGCCGATGTCAGCAAATTGTGTATATGCATTATCTTCAATTATGTCTACAAAATAACAGAGAGAACCAAAGAAAAGGATTTCAAAGACTAAAATCATGAGGAGGACGAGGATCTCTCTGATGGCAGCCCTGGAGGTATAAGATAGCACTCTCAGCATCACAGGGGTCTCCACCAGCTTGAGAACCTTCAAGAGTTTGAAGTAATATGGGGCACGCAAAAAATCCAACCAAAATAAAAATTGCTGATGGATTGTGGGATGCCCATAGAAGGAAACTTCAATGCAAATGGGGAAGAGGGAGAGAAAATCGGCCACATTCAGTGGGCTTTGGAGGAATTTCTTCTTATTTGGGCAAGAAATGAGTCGCAAAAAAAATTCAAGCATGAACCAAAGGACACAAAAAAGTTCCAAGTAAAGGACATAGTCAGCCACAGTGTGTAGGACTGAAATAAGATTGATCTGGTTTCCCAGGATGTAAACAGGAAAATAAGGGGCGTCTTCAAAGGTTTTGGCAATAAAAAGGCAGCATATCCCTATATTGAAGAGGAGACACACAGCAGCCAAGACCTGTTGGGGGGGAAATAGAGGAGGTCAGCTAAACTGATTGCTTGCTTCATCAATTACATTTATATGCCACTCATTTCATGGTTCAAGGTGACTCTGAGCCTGATCATTCCTGAATATCGTGATGACTGTGCAAATATCTTATGCAAAATGCCAGCTGTGCAAGTGATTTAAGTTAATGTGGCTCAGCTTTTAGCACACAAAACACGTCTGAATTCAGGACATAGAAGTGAACTATCTGAAACTAAAACCTTGGGGGAAATGACCCCTCATTTTCTTAAAATGCATTCTTACTCAACCACAGTCTGTTTGAGAAAAAGTCCTTCCAGAGAGAAAAGGATTTCAGAGATATCCTCCAGGTTGACAGGCAGGGCCCCTGTACATACCTGGGGACTGGCTGACCTAAGGTGGGTCTGTCAGAGGACAATTCTCTCTCTAACATCTTGTTCCCTACCCCCCTCCATTCATTCCCATCCGTAATCTCAGGAAGGGCCTCCTCACAGGCACTCCCTGGAGAATTTCTCCTTCCCCTGTAAAAATTCAGGAAAAAAATGTCTACCTAATTTCTCTGCTCATGAACTTGGGGAAGAATTGGGGAAAAAAATCCCATCTCTTGCCAGCTATGTCTGAAATACATGAGGACCTGGAGAAGGCTGGTGGAAGGCTGTGTCAGTACTGCATCCGAAATAGGTTGACTTTCACCCCAGAAGGAGCTAATCAAATTGCCGTTCTTACTTTTACTACTACTAGAGCGAGCAGCAAGATTTATACTTGATGTGCCATGCTCTTCATCACAACAATCCTGAAGGTATCTTCTTATAACGTCTGAGAGAAATGGGTGTCAAAATGAATAAATTGTCCTTCAGCTGAACCTGAGCCTGCATCTAATGGCTGCCATCCAGCTCCCTTGGGCTCACCCTGCAGGGGGACCAGGGCTCAGCGCAGCTCTGGAGGAGCAACCAGCCGCCTCAGGCTAAGAAAAGGGCGGCTGCCTTTGGCTCAGCCTCAGCCACAGCCCTGAAGCCCTGGCAGGCCAAGAAAACCACTGAGGCAAGACTGCAAGGAGCAAATGCTGCCCCCCCCCAAGCCCTAGTTGACCTTTGCGCTTAAACTGGAGAAGGGTTTCTCAAATGTGGTCCAGATTCTGCTCTGCCATCGGCCCCTCCAGGCACTCTGGTTCCTTCCCGCCTGCTCCAGGAGCCCAGCGGCCTCTTGGTTTTCCTCCGGGATGCCATACTCTTCCTTTTGCCCCTCAGCGATGGTCAATTTCTGCCAGCAGCAGGGTGCCAGGGGGGTATCGCCAAGCTCCCAGTAGGCCAGCTCCTCATCCAGGACTGACTTGCAGATCAAGTCAGAGCAGTGAAGCTCTTTGGTCCTGTAGTAGTTGAGCACCTCCTCAAAGAGGTAGGAACTTCTGTCAAAGAAGAACTCCTTGGTGTCCGGGTCATAGTCAAAGGTGGCGGCTGCCTGGGGCTCCGTCAGGCGGCATAGCTTAGTGCCAGGGAACACCTGGAGGGTGCTGGCATAGGTCTCATACCGGAGACCCCCAACGTTCAAGAAGATTTTTTCTTCCAATGGTTTCATCGCTTGTAACTGGCTGCCAAGAACAGGAAAAAGATTTGTCATCGTCATCAACATCATCATCTACAATATTCATCCGGGAAATAACAGAGGCTTCATTATCCAGTGATTTGATTCTAACTAGGAATCATGGAGGTATTATCATCACTATTTGTTACTATTATTAAGAATCTAACCCTTTTAACATGGCCAATAATGCTTCGGAAGAAAAGTAACGGGAGACTTCTGAAGACTGAATATGCTGGACTTGTCAGGCTCTTTGATCACCTCCCTTTCCATAGGATGAGAAGAGAGGGACCAGGATCCTTCCCACCCCTTCCCTAGTTGGGGAGGGAGGGGAGCAGGGAGTGGGTGGGGCTCCTTCCACACCTCCTTTCTCCCCACTGCTCTGCTTCTTTTCTGATGGAGGGAGATCAGTCCAAACTTGGAAGCAGGTCTCAAGTTCACAAATCTAGCAACTGTATTAATTCAAGAGGCAGTTACTGAAGCTGTTGTGTGTTTTATGGCTTAGATTTGTGGTTCAGCATATTATAGCATATTACAGCATATTATTTCCACCCATTATTTCCTAGTTAAGGAGGGACTTATGCGAATCACAATCACACTGTGTCTCCAAACATTTAGAAGAAAGAGGTTGTCCACGAGAGACCAAGAGACTGAAACACCCCTCAAATACTTCTTTTGCACTTCATCCTACATCAGTATACTTCTTGACTACTAAGATCAATGGCTCAGAAGTACGTAGTAAAATATCAGAAGGAATATTAAACTTTTATTCATTCATTTTAGCACCTTAGATGAAAAAAATGTTAACTCATCTGATTCTTTCAAACACCTGACCCCCCTTTGGATGGTTCTTTCCAGCTATGGAGCCCAAAGTAATTAATCCAGTAATTTCCTCAGAAAGACCCAGGCTGAACAGGAAACTCAACTGCCCAGGGAAGATGTGTGATTTGAAAAATGAGGATTTTTTAAAAAAAATTATTTAACCAAATGCATAACATTTCCTGAAATTTTAAGCAAATTTCCATACCTAGCTGATTTATTGAAAATTATAATATATATAATATATGACCATAAGTAAAACAAGAATTACAATTCAATTCTGAAACTCACAAATTGCATACCTGAGAGTAAAAAGTTCCTGGATATAATTAACTGTTAAACGTATTCAGCCAGTTTCTGCCCGAACAGAAATGGTAGTAACAACTTAAGTCTTTTATAATCCCGCCCAAACAAAAGCACCAAATTCGGAGTCCTTCTTTGACAAAGACCGGAGAGCCCCTGGAATCGGTTTTAGGTCACTCCTCGCTGACATCAAGGAATTCCACTTTTCAACTTCTGGTTCTTGCCCCAGCTAGGCTGAGGTTCCACCAACCTTCTCATTAGCTTTTATATTCTTACCTTTAATCTTGTAGAGCAGTTTTGTAGAGTGCTTGGAAAAAGTAGCCTGCAGAAGGAAAACAGGATGTGCTCTGGCTCAGGTCCAACTCATGGAGGCCAAAAAACAAAAACAGGCTATAAACTGAGGCACCAGAGGGGTGGGAGGGTGGGGGGAGATTGCATAAGAGCTTCTCCTGAACAGCATACTCTGTCTCTTCATGTTGCTTTGGCAATAGCAGAGTGATGTTCTTCTGTGTTTATTTTTTTTTAAAGCACATGAAAAAGAACCAACTCTATTTTATTTCAAAATTTGAGCAATTTTCTTTCCAAAGCAAATGTAATGATTAATAATATAACTCATCTTCATAATTATAAGCATCTTTAGAAAATGACACTATAGAAATCGACAACTATTCTAATGATTCTAACCAGCCACACACTTATCACCATCGTTCAGTGTCAATGGCATACCTTTTCTGTCACTTGACCTAGAAGGGTGAACAATTAAACTTTCAACCCAACTCAAGCTGACAAAGAAGGGGAGAATGTGAAATCTCTGGTGGGACCCCACGTTTCTGGTGCCACAAGGACCCAACTTCTCTGCCAGGGAGATGAGAGACCAAAGGCCCACATGTGTGGCCCATTTCTCCCCACAGTCTCTAATTCAGTGGTTCTCAACCTTTTTAATGCCGCGACCCCCAACCGGTCGTAAGTCGAGGACTAAACCGGTCGTAAGTCGAGGACTTTTGGCCAGCATTCAGCTCCTGATGGGTTGGCCAGCATTCAGCTCCTGAAAGGGACGGGCCCTCGTGGCGCGTACGCACCAAGGCGGGGGACGCGGCCGGCTCCGCATCGACCGTTCGCGCAGAGACGGAGCAGGCCGACCACCAGCTGGCCCAGCCCAAGGGAGGTAAGGCACCCGCCGGAAAAGGGGGAAAAATGGCAGACAGCCTTGCTTGGCGACCCCCGTGAAATGGTCGATTGACCCCAAATGGGGTCGCGACCCATAGGTTGAGAACCGCTGCTCTAATTCAAGGCCTGGCCTGGCTGCATCTTGCAGGCCAGTTTGGTGTCTTGGTTAAAGGACCAGTACAGGCATCTACCCACCCTGCCCAAGACAGAGGCACCCCCCCTCCCCCCCCTCCCCCGGGCTTCCTGCTTTTGATGGCAGAGAAATCAACAAGGAGGCTGATAAAATGCATTTCAGCCATTTGTCTCAAGTGGGGTAAGCCCTGGGGAAGAGAAGGGGCTCAGGCGAAGCCTTTGAGTCCACCACCCCCATCCGGCTTGGCGCAGGAATCCCAAGGAAAGGCAGCCGAGGACCCTCTTTGCCTGCCCCCCCCCGAAGAGAATGTTGAGTTTATCCTTGATTGACTTCTTCGAATTATTTCTATAAGGCTTTTCATTATCGAAAGTGACAAAGCAGTTCGCAACTATACAATTATTTAACGTAACAATCCCGTTCTCGGCACAGCTCATGCCTGGGGGGGAGGCGCTGGATCTGTGTGTGTGTGTGTGTGTGTGTGTGTGTGCGCGTGTGAGGGAGAGATTTCCCACCCCCCTTTTTCCAAGGCAAAACCCCGCATGGGGGGCTTCGGGCCAGGAAGGGGGGTCGCCTCTGTTCTCCTTGCGCAACGCCAGCCCAAACGTGGCTGCGGGCGGGGTGGCCGGGCGGCTTCCAGCCGGGCGGGAGCGGGAAGGGGCGCGGAGGGGGGAGTGACTCGCTGCGGATTGGCCGCCTCGCTCCGCCGCCCGCTAGGGAGGCTCCGCGTCCGACAGACCGAGCCACCGCCGCTCCAGTTCGGTCCGAGCCGCTCGGGCAGCCGCGGGCGGAAGAGAAGCGGGGACGCCCCCGGCTGACAGCGAGCCGGAGCGCCTGGCCAGGTAGATGGGCGAGGGGCTCCCTCCGCGCCCAGCCGCCATCCCCGCCAAGGCGCCCTGCGAGGTGGGCCAGCCGAGGGCAGCGGGAGGAGGGCGAGCAGAGCCTTCCTGGGCCAGCAGCGAAGAGCCCGGCGCCGCTTTCGGCGGAGGGCAGCCCGACGGGCGGCTCTGTTCGCGAGGTCCCGGATGGAGCGGGGCTCTCGGGCCTCCCCCCCTCCCCGCCGCTCACCCCTCTCCTCCTCCTCTTCCTCCTCCGCAGGTCTTCGGAGCCGCCGGGCCAGGCATGGAGGGCCCCTCGAGCCGGGTCACCCTGAACGTGGGCGGGCTGCGCTACCGCACCTGCCGCCGCATCCTGGCCGCCTTCCCGGGCACCAAGTTGGGCGGGCTGGCCGACCCCGGGGCCGCGGCCCGCTTCGATTACGACGCCCGCGCCGGCGAGTTCTTCTTCGACAGGAGCGGCCGCCTTTTCGAGCACGTGCTGCACCTCTGCCGCAGCGGCCACCTGCACGGCGCCACCACCGCCGCCGCCAATTGCCGCGCGGCCCTGCGGACGGAGCTGGCTTTCTGGGGGCTCTCGGAGGCGCGGCTGCCCGCCTGCTGCTGGAGCGAGCTCTGCCCGGAGGCCGAGGAAGCCGAGGAGGCCGAGCAGGGCGGCCCCGTCCAGCAAGAGGACCGGCGTGGCCTGTTGGAGCGGGTCCCGCGCGGGACGGGCGGCCCGTGGGCGCGGTGGGCGCGGCCGGCCTGGGCGTTCCTGGAGGAGCCGCACTCCTCGCCCTGGGCCACGGTGAGCCGGCGGGGGGCGCGGGGCCCCTTGATTGGGTCGCCCCAGCCTGAAGCCCTTTCCCTGCCGGCTAGCGGGGGCCAAGCAGGACCAGCTCACAGCAAAGCCTCCCTCTGGGCTCCGTGGGATCTTCCAGCCCGGTTTAAGGGCCTGGCGGGGTTGCCAAAGAAGACGGGGGTGGGGGGTGGGAGATGAGGGGTGTAAGGAATGGAAACCCCTTCCCCTTTGCCTGGGATTGGCTGCCAGGGCGGGAGCTGAGTGTTGCCTGCCCACCCTGCCAGAGGACGTCTGCCCAAGCAGCTGACAGGCCAGGGGAGGGGCAGCGCAGGGAAATCTGGCTTCAGCAAGGCCCCCAACCCTGTCAGCTCTCCTGGGGGCTCCTTTGGAACTCGGGCTTACTGCTTAGTAAGCAGTAACTCTAAACATAGGTTTGCCATTTGTTCGGAAGTGCACTAAACCCACGTTCAACAGTTGCTCCTGGGAGAATGACTGGTACTGTGGGAGAGCAGCCTCCCCCCTCAGCAGACCTTCCCCCCCCCTTCCTACGCCAAACACAAGAAGGTGCAAGACTGAGTGGAATCTCCAGATTCTCTGCCATATCATGTAGCATTGTCCACTTGCGTGGTTGGAGAAACTCGTGGTCAAAGGGGCTGTCACGTTAGTGGGTTTGTGCCTGGTTTTTATCTTTGGAATTTCCCTGTGGTGTCCTTTTCTCCAGGCTGAACAATCCCCAATGCCTCTGATCATTCTTGAACATGCTCCAATATGTCAACGTTTCTCCTAAAATGCCGCGCATGGTGCAATATTCTGGGTTGGCCTGACCTTTGCAAAAATAGAGAGACCAGTGCGCACGCTTGATCCTGAGCTGCTCCTTCTGCAGATGTGGCCTCAACCAACTTTTCGTCTTGTACCTGCATCACACTCTTGCCTCATGTTGTGCTTCTGTCCACCAGGTGCTTTCCTCCTCCACTGTTGTTCATGGTCCTGCCCATTTCATCCCCTCTTTGATTTTCTCTCTCCAATTTTCTTTTCTGCTCCTTGTTTCAGTGTGTCAGGATTCTCTAATGGACCAGATGGGCCCTTAGCCTGGGGGGGGGGGGGGGCNGGGGGGGGGGGGGGACAGCGCTCTTCTAAAGATTGGAGGGCAGATTGTTGAGCTAATTGAGAAATCTCCTATAGAAGCAAGAGAAGCTCAAACTTGACCTGGAGCCATTTGTTGGGATCTGCTTTCAGGGTCTCCTTACAAAAAAACTGTTTGGCACCAAGGAGGTCATGAATTTTCTTTAAGTGATGAGTTTATCAATCTTGGAAAAGGGACACATTTCATTTTCAATGTTTTCTTGCCAACCATTTAAAATCCAGACTCCTAACTCCTTTAATTGGCTGCAGAACATCTAGTGACTCAAAGATCTGTGTTTTGTTTTTTGTCTTCTGTTTGTAGACTTTTCAAGGAGGGAAATAGAAGTGGAAAGTCTCCAGAACGGCAGCAAATCTTCCAGATGGACCCAAACCATGCCACTAAAGCTGGAAATGGGAGCAGTTAGCCTTCTATAGACATCCTCCACTTAATTTTATCACTATTTGATGGGAGGGGGAAGTTCAGGAAGAATTTAATCACAATACAAGAGAAGGGAGAAATACATATACGGGGGAAACTGAATATATAGTTGTATGTAAAGTTTAAGGTGAAGTGGTACCCTTGGCTTGTGACTATGGCTGTTACTGTAGTCTCTGAGTGATTTACAATCAAATTGGGGAGATGGTGGTGAGACCTGATGCTCCTAGCAACTGATGTCTGACTTCTCTCCTTCCTTGTAGGGCTTTGCAGTCATGTCACTGCTGTTCAATGTTGCTATCATCATCATCCTTTGTGTCAAAGGAGGCCAACGTGAAGACTCCATAGGAGACAGCAACTTCACCCACCCCCACATCCACCACTTTTCAATGGAGTTGTTGTGTCCCCAGATACCTTCTCTCCTCCACCTGGAGCTTTTCTTCATTCTCTGCTTTGTGGGTGAATTTGCCATTCGACTCGTTTCCTGCCCAGACAAAAAGAAATTCTTTCAAAAACCCTTGAATGTGGTCGATTTCCTGGCACTTTTCCCAGTTTGCCTGGATCTCTCTTTTAGCGGACATGCACAGAAGCCTGAAGCTCTCCCGTGTTGGCTGAACTTGTTCCGTGTGATGTATATCATCAAACTCTTGAAGGTCTTCAAGCTGGTGGAAACCCCACTGATGCTGAAAGTCTTCCCGTACATGTTCAAGTCCATCTTGAAGGAGATTGCCATCCTGATGTGGGTTTTTCTTTTTGAAGTCCTTTTCTTTGGCACCCTCATGTTGTTTGCCGAATTGATCGAGGATCACTCAGATTCAGTGCTTCATGACATTTTCTCATCCTTCTGGTGGGCTGTGACCACCTTGACCACTGTAGGCTATGGTGATATGGTTCCCATCCGTCCAGCTAGCAAAGTGATTGGAGCCTGTACGGTGCTTTGTGGCTTGCTAACCATCATTATCCCCATTCCCATCTTTTTTATAAAATTCAAGAATTATTATATTTCTGCTGTGATTAAGGAGAAGAAGAAGAGAGAAGAGAAGGCAACACCAACCATGAGAACCTCGGAAGTCTAATGCAGTGATTGAGACTTTTATTTGGAGGAGGAAACCCCTTTCCATTCCACACTGAACTGCAGAATGTCCTGTTGAATTAAATTGGATCTTCTGTGCTGCGTCTTTTGCTGACCTTCATCTGTCTGCCATGTCCCCCTGCTCTGGCCTGTTTCGGGTTTGAGATGACTGTAACGGACTCTGCCGCATTGTAATAGCAGCTCTTCTCCCTTCAGAGATATACTCCATAAAGCAGCCTGTAAAGTCAAGCAATTGTAAAATAGCACTTTTTTCTTCCATCTGAGATGCTTTTCTTAAAGACCGTGATCCATAAAAATCATCAAGCTGGCCTTTATGAGGCCATTTACAATCTTGACACCTACAGGCTGACAGGCTCCTCTGCCACACACACTCTGACTTGCTCCCTAGTGGTCCTGCACTCTATTCACAGGCCAGCCCTCCCCTCCTCCTCCTCCCCCCCCCAGGGGCTTGCTCAGGAGGCTAATCTGCACAGGCACCCAAACTAATGCCAACCAAGTTTAGGGGGCAGACACTTTTATATTTTAACTAGCCTGGTTTCACATTGTGTGTAAACATTGTGCCTGTCCCAAGTAGCTGTGCTAAGCTTGGAGTAGGCAGAAGGAAGCAAATGAGAGCCAAGAGAAGTTTGTGGCGTCTTGAGTTGGAGGTTATTAATCACATCGTAACCGTCTGTGAACTTCTTGAACTGCTCAGCGATGTCAGCCCTCCCTCTGAAGCAGGGCTTCGGTGGGGCTTCCTACTTGTAAAGAAGAGGTGTCCATACAAAGCTCAGCCCAATCTGGTTACAAAGGGATTCCAGAAGTACCATTTTAGGACTTCAGAGAAGATGTGTGTGTCTCTCGGATCCGGTACTAAGCAAGTAACTTTTTCACATCAGTCTGAAGAATAATTCTGTGAACATTATCTCTCTTGTGTTTTTCCCACTCTGCTTCTAATTAGCTTGTGTTATTTACTTATAATTGATGGGGAAATGTCAACCTTGTCATCCATTTTTAGTCCTGTGGAATTTTTTCCCAGTAGCTCCCAAATTGCTTTTTTTTACTGAAAATTTAAGCTATGTAACTTTGTAAAACTTCACTAATTTTAACCAATGTTTTAGTCAGCTTTTCCAATTATTCTTTTGAAGATAGTAGCAAATTTATGCATCAATGAAGATATTTCAGCACTGTAATTATATGTCAACATTTGTTTAAAAATGATCATTTTGTAAAGCATTTCCTAAAATTCTGATTAATTTTAGAAATACTGAAATTCAGTTTTGTTTTAAAATACTTTTGCACTATACATCTATGATGCTAAATTTTAAACAGCTCAATTTTAGCCGTTATTTCTTAAAGTATCTGATTGTTACATAAAATATAAATTTCATATAAATTTAATTAAAACATAAAATTTATTTAAGTGAATAATGTTTTTGTTTTAAAATCATAAACTAGTAAAGGAATGGTAATTTAGGAATTAAAAAAACCTGAGGAATCATGATAATTGAAAATCACAAATATAAGAAACTGACATTCATTCACCATCCTGGGAAGCATCTTATAAGTTTCCTCCTTTCCTTGCTAGCATTTTAGAAAAACACTTCTTCCCAGCAGAGGGAGTTCTTGGACTGCCTAAAGGCGGTCCAAGATTTAACTTTAATCACTTTAAATATGATTAAAGGCCTGGAGGCTAAAACATATGAAGAATGGTTGCAGGAATTGGGTTTGTCTACTCTAGAGGAAAGGAGTAGGGGTGACATGAAAGCAGGCTTACAATGTTTGAGGGGCTGCCACAAAAAAGGGAGGGTCAACCTATTCTCCAAGGCACCTGAGGGCAGAACAAGAAGCAATGGATGGAAACTAAGGAGAGAACCAACCTAGAACTAAGGAGAAACTTCCTGACAGAACAATTAACCAGTGGAATGGCTTGCCTTCAGAAGTGGGTGCTCCAACACTGGAGGCTTTTAAGAAGAGACTGGACATCCATTTGTCTGTAATGATACAGGGTTTGCTGCTTAAACAGGATTGAACAAAAGACCTCCAGGATCCCTTCCAGCTCTTGTTATTCTGTTAGTATTCTGTTAAAGGTGTAGCTGGGGGGAGGGGGGGCAGAATAGATCGCAAGGATTAGCTGAGAATCGGGAGGCCACAAGGGTTAGGGTCTGTTGATCAGAGACCCATTTTTCCTCCTGGGATATAAAGATATGGAATGCTTAGTTGTCTCCATTTTCTTTGCTCGATACATTCATTGCACATTTAAAAAATGTGTTGGTAATTCCAATCACAGCCTAGTGGCCCCACGATAACTAAAAACTAATAGAATGTAGCTCAGGATTGAACTGTAGGGTCCTTGATGGTCTTTGAGCTTGGTGGTTTTCTTGCAGACTGAAGGCTGCCAAACCTGGTTTTTACTGGCTATTATTACCTGTTTCCACAAAGTCGTTCCTCAGCGGAACAGAGCTGCCTAACTGCCATTTTCTGCTCTGGGTGAAAATCCTGTCTGCGCTTTCTGCCAAAGAAAGGCCTGCACTGTGCATGGTGACCATGGGGTTGTGCAGTGGGGAGTGGGGCCTGCTGTTGGCTGCTTCTGGACTGGCTGGCAGGTGGAAGGAAGAAGCCCTAACTGACTGGTCACTTTTGTTGGGGACATTCATGCAGTACCTCCTGCCAGCCTCCATCACTGCCTTGAGGATATGGAGATGCAGGTGACCCACAGGGCTCTTCCTGCGGAGCAGTGGAGAAAGGGCCTGCTCTCTCCCGAGGCTCAGCTGCTGTTCTAGCCATCTGCCAAAGTCACATCCATCCCAGACTGGTCCCAGGCCCGCCCTCCACCCGAGGGAGAACAACTGGGCTATTTGTCCTTCCTGGGTGGGAGATCCACCATGTGCAGCTCCTCCTCTTCCTCCACAGTAAACCCACAGGGCAGCTGAATAGCCAGAGAATGGTTGTCAGGATGTAACCTTAGGAACGGCATGGGGAAGATGGCTTCAGTGCACAGGAACAGCTTCTCATCTAGGCCTTCATTTTGCTCCCAAGCTCTGTCAGGATGGGATGTGGACCCTTCCTTATTCCTGTGGATGGAGGGGGAGCTTAGCCTTTGTCCCTCGTGGCTGCAGATCCCTTATGTTTGGATGTCCTCGCTCAGTTCACCAAAGAAGGCTATCGATGCATCTTGCAGAACCTGATACAGATAGCCTGGCCTGAGGTCACCCTTAGGCCTTCCTCCTCCTAGGCCAGCATCCACACCATACAATTTGCCTCCTTCTTTATTCCTGCCTCCAACAATTGGGGGAACCTCAAAAGTGATTTTTCAAAGAGGCAATTGGACTGGGTTTTTTTCCTCGAGGAAGAAGATGTTTCGCTTCTCATCCAAGAAGCTTCATCAGTTCTGATAGCAGGTGGGATGGAAGGAGAGGTACTGAGAATTGAGACTGGATGGTGAGGAAATAGAAGGATAGGTTCTGACAGGATGGGGTGGGTAGGTGGGTGGGGGAAATGGAAGGACTGTTTTTCTTTGCAATCATCTGTTCATTAGCATTCTCATTTAGGCCACTGGGGCATTTATCTTTGCCTTCAGGATCACCTGAATCAAGTGCAAATGGCTGTGGGATCTTCTTGGCATGGCTAAAATGGCTGTCTTGTAGACAGGAGATAGGTGGTGTCCTATTCCTCGCCCTCTGTTGAGAGAGGGCTGTTCAATTCTGACATAAACGGCCTCTTTTACCCCTCTTTCAAACCAATGGTCCTCTCTATCCAGAATGTGAACTTTGCTGTCTTCAAAAGAGTGGCCCTTGTCTTCCAAATGCAGATGGGCTATTGAATCTTCTCCTGATGGGTTGATGAGACAACTGTGAGAGAATTATGACCTGATGAGACAACTATGACCTGGATGACTGAGAATCTCCATAGACATTTGGGGGAACCCATTTAAAGAGGAGCTCAGGCAGAGAAGCCACACCTCAAGAGGGCCCCCATTCGTTCAGGCATCCCTCTTCCAGCTAGGGGAGACCCTGCCGTACTTTTGCTAGCTGTGACCCAGGCCTTCCTGCAAAGCAGCTGCCTGGGGTGGTGGACAAGGTGTCTGCAGAGATCCGGGGTGGGCAATGGCATCTCCACCTTCAGGCCAAGGACAGGCAACCTTTTGGTGTCAAGACATGCCATTTCTCTGGGCAACACTGATAACATCTTAAGCCTCTTAAGAATTCTTCCAAGCACAGAGCTGTCAGCCAGGAGAAGCCATGTCCCTGGGGATGGGGCTACCTCCTCTAGGTCATCCATTTGGGTGCTTCACTTTGATGACCTGCTTGGGCAGGGGGAGAGTTGATGGTCTCAAGAGTCCCTTCTGAGTCTAGAGGTTCATGGCTTACTTGTCATGCATATGGAGTTCCTTCCGTATGAAAGAGAATACACTTCTTCAATTATCAGGCATGGACGATCTTGTTTTCCTGATAAATGGGAGAAATGCTGGCTATCAGGGACTAAATGAGGCGGCTATAAATTTGCCAAAGCCCAGGAGGAGCCACCCAACTTGGTCACTGGGGGATTAGGAAGTCCTCCACACCACCATCAACTTGGAGGACACTGATCAGGTCCAACAGGAAGGCACAGACCCAGAGTGGGACATTACTTACTAGATGGCAAACTGGAAGCCGAGGCAAGAGACAAGGTCAAAACAAGACGAGTCCACAGGGTGCAGTCAAAAAATCAAGATGGTCGCCATGACCTCAGCTTCAGTGCAGCTTCCCAGTTACCATGTGGTTCCTGCAGGTGTCTCTGATACCCAGGCAAGAGATTCACTGCCCACAGTCGTCTGGTGCTCCTGCTCTGCTGGAGCTGGCCATGCCCTCCCCCCCAGTGAAGCCCTTTGCAGGCAGGGCCCAGGGGCCAATAATATCCAGAACTGCTGCCATCTCCATAGAACGACTGCCGCTTGATGCGCCTGCTCCCCCTCCCCCTCATGAAACACCCTTTCCTTACACGACCGTTCCCCCTCTCACCCACAATCTTGGGAATTCCTGGTGGTCTCCCATCCAAGTGCTAAGTAGGGGCAACTCTCAGCCAAGATCAGCTGAAACCGCAGCAAGACATCTTCATATTTGGATACGGGAGACCCTTCAACAATAAAGTACCATTGGTTCCTGTCCCTCAAAATGCTCAAGGCAGCAACTGCCTCTGCAGCTCTGTCTCTGCACCTGATCTGTATTTTGTTCAGGCCCCCCAGAGTGGCAGCTGATCCCAAAACCATGGAACTCCCAGATGCTCTTTGCATCCCAATAGCCAGCGTGGAAACCTGAAGTCTTCTTCTAAAGCCAGAGGATAAGTTCAGCAAAGGTTCATTTTGATTTAAATATGGGTTGGTAGATAAGCGCAAAACGGCAAACTGAGTTAATTTTACAAATTTATGGGAACTGAGATTTTATGAATCCATGCCAGGCAAATGAAGTGAA